CCGCAGGTTACAGAAATGGGACAAAACCGCTGGAGAAGGGGTGCGGAGGGCGTCTTGCCGCTGCTCCTGAGACCGAGGTGATGGCAGCGGCTGCTCACGGTGTGCTCTGGGGCTGTGACGCTGCCTTGCTGATGGGGAAACCCAGCCCAACCGTGCTGGCTCTTTTTTTATTATTATTTATTTTCCTGATCGCATGAGAAATATATTCACAGAGAGCGCGTGACCACGAGGCGCTCAGCTTGGCTCGTCGGAGCAGGCTGTGATCCGGGCAGCCCCGCGCCCTGTTTCCATAGGCAAGGGAGAAGCAGCCTCCCCTGGGGTAGGAGGGTGCCGGGGCATTTCTCCTCTGTCTGGACCGAGCTGCTCCTCCCAAACACACCTGGGCCCCTTTCCTGGCCACCTTCCCAAGGCAGGTTTGCTGCCCCAAGCAGATCAAGTACGGGCTCATCATGAATCACTTTGGGCTGCAAAAATCAAGATTAGCTGTTGCAAAAGCCAAGCCGGATGAGCTTTGTAGTGCAAAAACCAAATGTGATCAGAAACGGGGGTCAGTGTCTGAGGTTACAGGTCTCAGGTTGAATAAGAGGATTCAAAGGTGCTGGGAACTTCCCTTGACTGGGTAAGTTCACTCTTGAGAACAGGATCTTGTTCTTAATGTGTATGTTTAGTCTTTATTGAACTTAGATTATTAAGTGAAAGTGGGAAAATGTAAGCAGATGAGTTTGTGAATCTTCTTACCACTATCACTTCTACTTAGCTCTCCCAGGGATCCCAGCACACTTGTCACTGCATTTGGGCAGAAAACTAAATGGATTTCTGCTTCCACGTGTATTTTCTGATATTATTTGCCATTACTGACATCTCCACCGCTGTGGCATCCACCGAGATGCCCTCTGGTGTACTTAAAATGAGTCTCTAACAAGAAGTACTTACGTATTTTTTTAATTTCATCACAAAGGATCTAAGAGATTCCTGTGACCATGAAGTCTGCAAGGATTTTAAGTTTACTATGGAAATGGGCCAGCAGCTTCCCTTGAGCAGGGAAAGGTGAATTTCTGTCTTCCAGTCATACTTATTTATTTAATCCAGCTGATGTGGTTATGAATGAAGGATTCGGGCACCTGCTCCAGCGATATGATCTGCTGCACGACAAAAACTTCAGGTCGGTGGGAAATAATGTCCCAAGGGGAAATTTAGCAGAAGGCAGCAGAATGTGGCACAAGTGGTCAGAAATAATAAATGTACCACAAGCATTTGATTGAGATAAATGTTCTGATTTCTCCCTTGGGAGCGGATGGAATGAGTGCAATTTAAGTAGTTTCCCTGTAGGTCTTGTGTAACTTTGGCTGCTGCGGCACGTTTTACCTCACTGCAGGAGCAAGTGCTGCCAACAGCACCCTGCTCGTGGCACTTGATGGTCCACGGTGTCCCTGCCACCACCCCAGTATGTTCCATGCCAACCCAAGGAGCACCGTGCCCATCACTTTGCTCAAGCCAAATACCTTCCAGCAATTATAAGGGAGTCTTAATTCTGTATTAAAGCATCGTATCTTTTTGGCAGACTGAAAGCATGCTTTTGACATCTCTAGAGCAAACTTTAAAATCCAGGTATTGCCGTAAATGACACCTGACACGTCAGAGGGATGCAGAGTCAGTAAAGGTGTAATCACACTTTGTTCATCATCTGCATTATAACAGAAATAGTTTTATTCCCATATTGTATACGGTCTGGCTTCCAACACTTGTTCTTTTTATTGCAACCCCGACTCTTGCGATCCTTTTGGCGGTGCTGCCAACTCCAGATGTCCATGGGTGCCCTGTACCTGGACAGATGTGCACCAAGGCCTGGCCCTGGTGCTCCCCAGGCGATACCCGCACCCAAGCAGGGCAGAAGCACGCGGCTGCGGCCAAGCATCCCCCCATGGCAGCGCTGCCACTGCTTCGCTGTTCCCACGGGCACCTTCCCAGCTTTCAGCTCGGCTGCACAGGTGGATACAAAACACCGCTCACAGGCTGATGTCAAGGGAGTCATTCTCAAGATTTCAGTGTAACCAGCAGCCATGGCAAACTGGGTGGCTACCTTTGGTGGGACAGGCTGGGTTTCTGGGAGCAGACAGTTTTAAGTGGGACTTGCTGAAAAGCTTTTGCACAATTAGCTAATTTGTCAGTAAATTAATAGCTCCCTCACTGAGCCCTCCCACTTCTTGTAGTTTGCTAGTAAAAGTGTGTTTGGCAAGCTGCTTTTCGTAGCCTGATGGGGAGAAATATTGAGGGGAGAAATCAGCACTCTGTCTCAGTTCATTGTAACGTCATTGCAGCCACGTAGTCACCATTTTATCAGATGTGGAGATTTCTGGAAAGATGCTCAAAGCTCAGAAGAAAATGACCCCATGGGTGGGTATTGCCCAGTAACATCATCTAGATGCTGTTTCATTTGCTGTGATCATTGCAACCATTCTTGGAGGGGCTGGTTGTGGTCCCAGAGGGTTTGCAGAGTCGGGAACTCTTGGGGGAGCAGAGGTGGCTGCGGGATGCTGGGCTGGCACTGGGGTGCAGTATCTGGCCCAAGGGATGACTGGGCCAGAGCCCACAGGAGGGAGATGACCCCGGACATGGGCTCTGTGTCACTGCCACCGCTCCCTGCTGCCCCCCACCACGTTGTAGCCCAACAATGGGTGAGGTTAACTGTTCGCTGTGGTTTTTTTCGCTTGTGCAAACTTAAAAACCTCCTCCAGAGCCTTGTGTGAGGGGTGCCCCCTGTTTGCAAGCTAGCCTGCACCAGCCTCCGGAGCTCGCTTGGCATAAATATGGGTAAAGGCTGTGAGAGGGTAGTCCCGACCTCCAGCGTAACCCAGACACTGTCCCCAGGAGGAAAAAAGCTGGTTAGTGTTAATGTCAGCACAACGTTGTGTGGGAAGTTGTGGCCCCTCCACGGGAGTAAAGCCCCTCCATTAATCACTCGGTAGCTCTGCAGGCTGGAGCGAAGCCAGAGGGTGAGAGGAAAGGGGCTGCCTGGGCTCCTGCGGCAGAAAAGCTTTTTCTTTAAGACCTTGACTGCTGGTAAAGTCATAAATAATGCTGTGGGGCTTAACAGGAAACCCTGTTTGGATCCCCTCCTCTGCAGCATCTCAACCGGGGGATCAGGCCCAGCCAGCACAGGTTCATGAGAGGCAGGTCCTGCTTGACCAACCTGATCTCCTTCTATGACCAGGTGACCCGCCTAGTGGATGAGGGAAAGGCTGTGGGTGTTGGTCTCTTCTCCCAAGTAACTGGCGAAAGGACGAGAGGAAATGGCCTCAAGTTGCGCCAGGGGAGGTTTAGATTGGATGTGAGGAAAAATTTCTTTACTGAAAGAGTGGTTAAACATTGGAACAGGCTGCCCAGGGAAGTGGTTGAGTCACCATCCCTGGACGTATTTAAAAAACGTGTAGATGAGGTGCTTAGGGACGTGGTTTAGTGGGCATGGTGGTTGAGTTGACGTTTGGACTCGATGATCTTAGAGGTCTTTTCCAACCTTAATGATTCTATGATCTGCTTGGCTTGTCCCTCGCAGGGCTGGCAGTTATTGGAGACTCCCTGGTGGGGAGTCGATACTGGGCCGTTACGGTAAATATGAGTTATTTAAAATGCTTCTTGTGTACTGAACACCCAAACACAAGTCCCCTGAGGACAGCCTCAGCTTGCACCCCAGGAGCAGCGAACCGGGTGCCTGGCTCCTCTCTCCAGTGGCTGTTTCTGCAAAAGAAGAAAAGTAAGGCAACCTGCGGTGGCTGTGTTTGGAAAGATGCCCGCTCAGCTGCTTGCCCTCTGCTTTCCCAGCGAGGAGCTCTCACTCCGTGAGTCCAGTACAAGTCAGACCGTACAGCAGAGAGCCGCCCTCCTTGTGCCCACAGAAAAGCGATGCCAGCAGGTATAAAGGGAATGAGTTGGGGATGGCAGTGTTACCATCCTGTGTCATAAAACTTGTCCCCTTGCCTGTCTCCTCTGTGCACAGCCCTCTTTACAGAAAAGGAGAAAAGGTTTTCTCTTTGCTTTTTGTTTCAGCGCTGTCAGAGCAGCACAGGGCAGCAGGGGTGGGGGACAGGGGGTCCCCAGCACTGTGTCCGAGGAGCCAAGGCTCCAGCCCTTCTCTTCTCGTGCCAGGACTGCACCCTGCGGGAATGCCCTGGCATTTCTCCCTCCCGGGAGCCACCCGTCTCCCCCGGGGAGCACCCGGAGGTGTCGTATCCAGCGGGGCTGCAGGGTGGGGACCCTGCGGTGGCGTGCTCTCAGCCTGATACCCCGGCACTCCCTTATCCCCACTCTGCAGTCGCTTGTTGTGTCTTCCAGGAAACTTTTAAGCGATGAAATATAACTTTCCTCGGCTTGAATCACCTATAATTTACCCTGATGTGAATAATAAGGAACTCAAAGTTGAGAATGTGAAGCTGGCATAAAGGCAGAAAGTGGTGTTTCAGAGTGTGTCTGCACAGCGTTTTGCACGCAGAGGCACGCCGGCTTTGCCCCGCTCCACGTGAGCCGAGGGCTTGTGGCCAGAGCTGGCGCTGTGCTGCCTGGCCTTGCCGTGCTGCCTGGCCCTGCCAGGGGCTGCGGCCACCACGCAGCTGCCCTCCTGCTCAGGGAAGGCAGAGCAAGCTCCTGACAGCCCTGAGGGTACAGTCGTGGCTGGATCCCAGAGCTTGTCACAGCATCTGTCTGCTACAGGTAGCTGCAGCTGCATTGCCTAATGTACATTTGTACTTGTCCTTGAGGAGTGAGCTGTCTGCTCCTGCTCCCCCTTCTAGGGATGTTTCTTCCTTTCTCATACCTCTTCTATAGATGCTGTTCTTCTCAAGTTAAGGTTGCTGTTGGTAGGCAGCCTTTTGCAGGTCAGCAGAGCAGTGTGTTTGCAATGGCTGACAAGGGAAAGCATGTTCTCCCCTTCCCAAGCCGCACAGAGACCCGCGCTGCCCGTGCCTGTCCTGCGGCGTGACCTGACCGCGTCCTTCTGGCTCTTGCAGAGTTTGCCGTTTCGCTCGTGGAGAAGATGCAGGCTCAGGAAATCCTGCGGAGCCTGCGGCTCCCCGAGTTCGACGACCTCAGCCAGTTTTTCCGCAACCTGCCGGCCACGGCGCTGGTGGGCATCGGTGCCTTCGCGGCCGTCGTTGCCTACTGGTTTGCCAGCCGGCCCAGGGCCGTGAAGCCACCGTGCGACCTGCGGATGCAGTCGGAGGAAGTCGAGGTGAGGCCAGGGGAGCCCCGTTGGGAGAGGCTGGGTTTCACACGAGGTTTGCATGCGTGGAAAGGACCGCAGGGGATGCCAGGAGGTGCTTTTGTTTGTTTTGAGGGCTCCCCAACCTCACCCTGAAATCAGTCGTCTAATGCGCTATGCCAAGGATCACTTCACTCCTTAATTCACCTTCTTCTGTAGACTGGAAAACTAGAATACAGCCCATTAATTTATTGTCTTAGATTTTCTGTAACATTTTGGTTTTAGCTTTGCTTAACCATCCATGACCAAAAATTACAGTAGCTGCCATTGCATGGGAGAAACCACTGAAAGGCAACAGCTGATAAGATCAAATCAGCTGGCACTTCTTGTGTGTGCCCATTACTGAGTTTGTAATAATAAGAAAAAGTAGACCCCAATCCATGCTTAGAGGCTGAGGAGTTATTAATTTTCATGCTTGCAAAAGGTTTTAAAGTTTAATGAAGCTGCTCTGTTTTAAAGAGCAGAAATATTTCTGAAAATCGTTTCCACTTAAATTAATATCTGAAAGTGCGATGAGAATTTAAAGCCTTTTGCATCCCCTTTGAAACCTTATTGTCTTTAATTCCAACAACTTTTTAAAAGGGTAGGAGGAATTTACATTTTCCAAGACAGTTTTCCCCTGTGGTTAGGGCTTTAGTGAGACTTTCTTCTGTCTCACAGCACGGTCCCGGTCTGGTCACTCTCACCCTGCCTGCCTCCCCTTGCCCGCTCCTAAAACACCTTGCTGAACCCACGCACTGGGGTCTGGAGTCTGGCCTCTGCTTTAGTCTGTCCTTCATGTTGGTCTTAGATGTCCTTGAGAAGGTGCCCGTGGTGCCAGTCCTGGGGACTTGTGGAGCCCAGAGCAGTCGCTCCCCCCAGCACGTCTCCACTCCGTTACTTGCAGTTTTATAATTCCTCCTCAGGTCTCCTTGGGAAATATCAACCATCTCCTGTGGCAACGAGCCGGGTCAAGTGCTCTGGGCAGGTGGTTCTCCATGTTACTGGGGCGCTGAGGTGGATGTCCCACCTCTCCCGTCCCTTTGGGTGTTGGGGCAGGAACACGGTGGTGGCTGCAGAGGTGTCTCCGGCATTTGGGGAGCGTGCTGCTTTATGGTTTGGGGTTTCCCCATCTCCTGCACGTCGGGCTGTGCTGATGGCTGTGTCACATCATGTCACATCGTGTCACGTCGTGTCGCACAGGGCCTGGCTGGGGCACGCCGGTCGGTGATCGGGGACAGCTCGCAGCTGCTGACGCACTACTATGACGACGCCAGGACCATGTACGAGGTCTTCAGGAGGGGATTCAGCATCTCTGGTGAGAGCATGGTGATGAGGAGGCCTGGGAGCAGAGGTGGGGAGAGGTGGAGGACCAGATGATGTAGAGGTCCAAACGGTATGGGAGGCTCAAAGGCTTAGGGAAGCTTAGAGAGTGTAGAGGCTGAAAGAGCATGGGAGCCCATAAAAGGTGGGAGGCCCAAATGGTGTAGAGGTCCATTTGGACTCAAAGGCTAAAGGAGCGTCGGAGGCCCAAAAAGGAACGGGAAGCCACAAAATTATAGAAGTCAAGAGAGCGAGAGGCTGAAAGAATGGGGGAGGCACAAATAGTGGAGAGGCTGAAAAAGTGTAGGAGGCTCCAAGGGTGCAGGAGGCACGAAGAGCGTAGAAGCAAAAAGCGTGTGGGAAGCTGAAGGAGATGGGGAGGCTGAAACAGTATGGGAGGCCAAAAAAGTCCAGAGGCCCAGGGAGCGTAGAGCCTAAGAGTCTGGGAGGCCCAAAAACTATAGGGGACTGTTATGTGTGGGAGGACCCACGAGTGTTGAGGCCAAAGACTGGGAGGCCTGAGTGTTGACGCCCAAAAGGTGTGGAAGGCCCAACAAGTGTAGAGGTCATAGAATCATTAAGGTTGGAAGAGACCTCTAAGATCATCGAGTCCAACCGTCAACCCAACAACACCGTGCCCACTAAACCATGTCCCTAAGCGCCTCATCTACCCGTCTTTTAAATACCTCCAGGGATGGTGACTCAACCACTTCCCTGGGCAGCCTGTTCCAATGGTCGAAAAGGTGTAGGAGGCCTAATGATTGGGAGGCTGAAAAAGGTGTTGGGAGGCCGATGAGGTTTGGGAGGCTAACGAGGTGGAGATGCCAAAAAGTGTGTGGGAGGCGATAAAGGTGTAGAGGCTGATAAAGGCGTGGGAGGCTCAGTGAGAGTTTAAAGGCCCATGGAGTGTAGAGTCCCCAAACTTGTAGGAGGGCCAAGGACTGTAGACGCCCAGAGAGTGTGAGGCCGAAAAGGTATGAGAGGTAAAAAGAGGGTATGAGGCCAAAATATTGTGGGAGGATGAAAAGGGGTGGGAGGCCCATTGAGGGTGTGGGAGGATGAAAACGTGTGGGTGGCCGAAGAAGTGAAAAGGCCCAAAAAGTGTGGGAATCCACAAAAGCGAGGAAGATCAAAATGAGCGTAGTGGCCCAAAGAGCAGGGGTGCCGAAAAGGTGTGGGAGGGAGAAGGTGACTGAGAGGACCACAGAGTGGGAGGCCCAGAGAGTGGGAGGCCTGAGGGGCAGAGGCCAGGAGAGCGGGAGATCCAGAGAGTGGGAGGTCCAAGGAGTGGAGGCCAAGGAAGGAGGAGGCCCAGTGAGGGGCAGGGCGGGTGCTGCAGCCTGCGCTGCCCGTGCTGGCACGGGCGCCGCTTTTGGAGCGTGTGGGTTATAATTAGGGTTATTATTTGCAACGTGCATTATTTTGCCCTTAATGCCGTTGAATTTTACTGTGCAGTCTCTTAGTACCACGAGATCTTTTTGCCGCCACTGGCAGACAGCTTAACGTCCTGAATTTTGCAGCATCAGCAAAACTCATCATACATTATTCATTTCCAGAACATTTATGAATACATTAAACAGGGATGATCCGGGCATAGAACTGTGGAGCCCAACAGAGCTCTTCCTCCGCTGCAGACGCTGATACTTATTTCTGCTTGTTTCTGCCTTTTCATCAGTAACTCATCCAGCTTACCTTTTATTCCACAACAGGGCAGGGTAAGGGACTCTGCCAAAAGCTCTTAGGAAAGCTGTGTGGTGTATCAGTCCATTGCCCTTACCCCATGATCAACGGTACCATCAAAGAACTCTCTCACTCTTGTGAGACATCATTTCCCGCTCCAAAAAGCCACGATGACTCTTCCCAGCTATATCGTAACTATTTCTGTGTCCACTGCTTACGACGTCCCGCCTCCTTGAATACACCAATTTCATTGTCAGATTATTATTTTCGGTACCACCAAAAGCTTCAATGGAATTGCAAATATTCCACCCCGCAGGACAGGGGTAAATAAATAACTCAGTAGGTGTATGGAGGGATGGATCTTGTGCAGGTAAGTACAGTTAGCAAATTAATTAAACTTCTCAAATATTCCTCCTGTCATGTAGCGCTGCGTATTGTCTTACCCTCCTCCAGAGCAGGCTGTGCTAAAAATAGCAGTTTTCACTTTTAAGTGTTTAAATCAAAAGGCAGCGAAAGCAGTGGGAGCCGGTGTTTTGGATGAAAGCCCTCATCAGACACTAATGCTCACACTGCCTGCGGAGAAGTGTCTTTTAATGAGGCTGTTTGGGGGCAAACTGCTGCTGTCCCCTCTGCAGCTCAGGGAGGAGGGTTGAAGCGACCGTTTGGGAGATCCCAGCAGCCGTTCTCCCATTAGCTGCGCTCGTATGTTTAATTTGATCGAGCTTGCTGTGAGCTCTGCCCCAGGAGCGAGAGCCTACCCCGATAACAACAGATTTACTCTCTGAGGGCTCTGCTGCATCCCCACAGCGTGGTACTGGGCAGTGCGTTAACTCCTGGCACTGCCCCCGTTAACTCCGTCATCTCTGCTTGTGTCTTCCAGAAAACGGCCCCTGCCTGGGGTTCAGGAAGCCCAAGCAGCCCTACCAGTGGCTGTCCTACAAGGAGGTGAGCTGGAAATGACTGACACCCCCTGCAGAGTCCTCTCCCCCAGTGCTCTCGCCCTGCCCAGCAGAAGAAGGGGTGTTAAGATGCCCGTCGGTAACATGCACGCACTAGACCAGGAGGTTGCTAACGTGCCGTGCGAGGGCTCTCAGTTTCCCCAGCCGGGCACATCCCGGCGTTGTACAGGCATGTTGGTTTTTGGGGACCACCTCAATGCTGTTAACCCGCTCCTGACAGTGGCACTGACACGCTCAAAACTATGGGGCATTGCCAACCAGAGGTCAACTGCTAGTCAACTACTAATGGCTTGTGAGAACATAAAAAAATTGGGCTTTTAGATAGCGAATACAATAATTTGAGAAACTCCCTGTATAAGCTAAGTCTTCCCTTAGTGTGGTATTGCTTATATTTCTTTTCTTGATGGTTTTTTTTCTTTCCTCTCCAAATTCCAGGTGGCTGAAAGAGCAGAAGCTCTGGGTTCAGGGCTGCTTCAGCAGGGCTGCAAGCCATCCACGAAGCAGTTCATTGGGGTCTTTGCTCAAAACCGTCCAGAGGTGAGATTTCAAGTTCAACTTGATGCTGTATTAATAATGTACCTGACTTGTGAGCTTGCTTTATACTTGAAGCTTGTTCTCAAGTGTGTTAAATCTGCTTCCATGGCTGCCTTCTCACCTTCATGCTTTGATGTCCTCCTGCAGTGGATCATTTCCGAGCTGGCTTGCTACACCTACTCCATGGTGGTGGTTCCCCTCTACGACACCTTAGGTCCTGGAGCCATTCGTTACATCGTCAACACAGGTAAAAACAAAATTTATGTAGTCTTCTCAGAAACCAGTTTGTTGCTCAGAATGGTTCATTTTCTTCTGCTGTCCAAAAGACAGGTGATTTTACTCATTGAGTGTCTTGAAGTCACTTAGAGAGGTTTCTGGGGAGCTGTGTGTCCCCATGCTGGGGCAGGGCTGCCTCTGTTCCATTTCCCACGCGCCCAGTCTTGCACAGCCGTGGATGGGGCTGCTCTGACAGTGGGAATTACTCCAGGGCCACCTTGTTTGGCTGCTTTTCTTCCAGCTGACATTTCCACAGTCATTTGTGACAAACCTGAAAAAGCCAGAATACTCCTTGACCACGTGGAGAGGAGAGAAACGCCAGGTCTGAGCTCCATCATCCTGATGGACCCATTTGAGAAGGAGCTGACGGAGAGGGGGAGTCGCTGTGGGGTTCGCATCCAGACCATGCAGGAGGTGGAGGTGAGTTTGCTCTCCCTCTCTTTTTACTACACTTTGTAGTTTCTGTAAAAAGACAGTAAAATATACAGGGCCTTGTGAACTGTGTGGCAGGTTCAGTGTCTGGAGAGCACGACGGAGCAGCTTGTGGCTGTTAATATTGACGCACGGCTCAGTGCAGTTGCCTCTTAAGTGTTATTCCTTGTTGTTGGGAGCCAACATTTCAATCCTTCCTGCTCAAATAAGATGCCAGCTGCTAACTAAGCCTGGAAAGGGGGGTTGCTGTTCGAGACGCTGTCCTCCCACATGTAAGCCTACAGCCTTACACTTTTATGAAACAGCCTGGATCCAGCTCAACCAACCCAAGCACTACTTGAAATCCAAGGATGGCGTTGCAGTTGATGCAAGAAACTTTGGATAGAAAAGATGACCTAAGTGTTAGCCACAAATTTTTCTGCTCTAGCTCACGCTCTCCCTTAGTGGTTTGCAGATCATTAGCAAGTGGGTTACACCACAGGAATTAAAGTGGAAATAATTTTTGTTACTTTAATCTCTTTCAGGACTGTGGCCTTGAGAGTCGACATGTGCCTGTGGTGAGTGTTGGCATGCCGCTTTTCTCACTTACAACTGCAGCTGACTATGTTACATTTATTTCACTGACAAAAGAGGGAAGGGTTTGCTCGGGGCAGAAGGAAGCGTGCGTGTGTTCAGGGGCAGCGCCCCGTGACCCTCTCCACGTGGGAGGCAGTGGAGGAGCCCAGGGACTGTGATACCATCCACCGGAGATGTGCAGTATTTGCTTCATACCCTCCGCCTGGGACACTTAACTGAGGTAGTTCATCCTTGCTGAACATGTTAACGGGACAGTAATTAACTGCCATTGTTAAACCACACTAATTCCACTACCTTGCCCAGGCGGCCCCGTGGGAATGTGTTTGCACCCTTGGCTTTCCGGTGGGGTTTCTATAGCTCAGGAACACTTCTTGGCAGTATTTCTCTGGGATATTTTTGGAAAATCGCATTGATATTTTTCACTGGCTGCTTCATACTCGTGCAAAACTTTCAAAAGCAGCTTCTGATTTTCAGGCCGCTTGTTTATTCATTCGTGACCCAAAATAGCGCACGCGTGCAGCGGTGCTGAGAATACAGAGATACTACTGGAAATGGGAGCAATCGGCAGCTTCAGAAAGTTGTTGTCCCCCGTTGTGGATAACCACACGTTTCCAGAATTTATCTGGAAATCAGTAAATTATCTCAAGTTTTCCCACACACCTACAGGTATAGATGGTGTCTTTGAAAATACTAGCTGCAAGACAAATACTCCATCACAGTCGTCTTACACTAAAGCTTGCCCTTAATGCAGCTGGAGCAAAACATAAGGGTGGAATAAAGTCTGCATCAACTGAAGAAACCTGATAAAAAGAGTTTTATGATGGTCTTTTATATTTGCCAAGGGGAATGAAGGCTTTTTATGGCAGAGCTGAAATATAATTAGTTTGATCTTTAAGTTTATGCAATGACAACAGTCTACCATTGACCCTTCTGCATTTGATTGATGTGATATTCTTGTTCTCCTTGTGTATTTCTAGCCTCCTCGACCAGAAGATCTATCAATTGTCTGTTTTACTAGTGGCACTACAGGTAAAAGAAGAGCCATTTTAATCTCAAAATGTTAGAATAGATAATTAATTTGATAATTAATACCACCTCAATATGTGCAAACTTGCTGTTATACTGATATGGCAGTGATATTTCTACGCATTTTTAATATTTAAGAATATATATGTATATACATTTCTGTAGCTTGCAAATTAGAAGTAATGATACATTTATTTTTCACTTGAATTCCCTGACATACGCTTTGGCAGTACGATTTTCCAGTTGTCTGGAAATCTGCCCATGTTTCTGCTTCCCATTTTGCAGTGTAGTTGTGAAGCGCTCGACTGATTGGTATTTATCTTCTGTAAATGTTTAAAAAAAAAAAAAAATGCGGGTCCACAGCTTTCCATTCTCTGTATCCTAAGCACACCAATACCCCCAGCCCCACCAGCGTCCTCAGCACCTCTGTCTCCTCTGCAGTGTGCCCCAGCTTGCTCGCGTGTTGCCCACGTCCTCGGGTTGATGCTGGGGCAGGCTTGGGGTCGAGCTTGGGGAGCCCACGCTGCTGGTACTCCCATACCGCTGGCCCCTCTTTCTTGGAATGGAGCAGCACCATTTTCCTGCCTGTTCTTAGCAGGCGCGGTGCTTTCTCCTCTCTCCAGACCCTGGTTTTCATACAGCTTGCAGGAATTTCCTACTCTTGAGAACTCAACCTCCATAACATCTACCAAAAAGCTATGCAGGCAGACAGCGCAGATGCACGAGGCGTGATTGCTTGGGAAACTGCTTTTAGACTTACCTGCGGGCAAGGACCATGCTCCAGGGACCGCTGGAGCAGCTCTTCCAGGTTCGCCTGCGTTCTCAGGATTGCCTAACGCTTGGTCCTACCCCAAAAGCATCCTCGATTTGGCCTCCACTCATTTAGGCAAGCGGAAGATGCCGCTTGACACCAAGCTGCCCTCCGAGAAGGGAGGTGCTTGTCTGCCCAGCCTGCGGAGTGCAGAGCCTGCAGATTAGGCTGAGCAAGAGGGGACGTCTTCATCTTCCACCTCCTGGAGAAGACTTGTACTGCAGATCAGGTAGGCAACTGCTTTATCAACTCCAAGTACAAACTCAAAATGTATTAAAAGGCTTTGGTTTTTTTACCTTCACGCATCATTCTTGGTTTTGAGAGCTGTGCACTTCAGAGTACCCAAAGCAGTGCACTGTGTGAAAGGAGCCTGTGACTCTGCTCTGCCTCAGCAGTGGGAATTCCTAAAAGGAAAAGATTGAACCCAGTGCAGGAGACGGACATCACAGGCGTGTATGCTGTGAGCACCGGCTGTGCCAGTGCAAAGTGGCTGGGCATAAATGGGAACTGTAGGAACCCAAAGGAGCCATGCCTATGGGCATGGCGGAGCACAATTTGTTTGTGTGGATTTTAAAGTGCAGAGCAATTATTTTTTCAAGTCACATTTTTGTGGATATTTTTATTTCTAAATAAGAAATTCTGAATAGAGAAGGGTTTTTTGATTCTCTTTTTTTATTTGCAAATGCAGTCATGGGCCAGTTTCTGACTTTGTGCTTTTTTTAGGAACATGTCTGAAGTTACAGAAATAGGACAACCAGGGGGGTCGTTTTCTTTCTCCCACCCAAACCAGAGATTTCAAATTCTGCAGGTTATCTGCAAACTAAGCTCTCATAGAGCAGCGCTTTGTGAACCACCAGCCCATCCTCTGCTGCTGGAGGACTTTGCACATCACTTTCTGGCTTTTCCAGGGGTTGCATCAACACTTCTGGTCTGTTTTCAACATTATGTTTTGATGTAAAAGGCCTGGCTTGTGTATAGCCCACGTCAGGATATTTTTAATGACCAGATTTAGAATTTTCTTCCAACGGATATGTTCTCAAGGGTTTTTTCAATTCTGAAGGGCTCCAAATATTTTTGTATGGTTTGAAATAAATCTGCACTATAGAGTTTGTAACCTGAAAATGGTAGAATTGGAAACAATTTTAGCTGTTTATAAAAAAAAAAAAACCCACAACCCAGAAGCGGACTTTAATGTGTATTTTTCTTTGATAGGATCAGATGTCTAAATGCCTCCACAGGCTGAAGGGAGGGACTGAGATTGCTGAGCTCAGATCACAAGACCAACTTTTACTGTTGTACCAAGAAATCATCAGCACTCATAAATGGGCCAAAGGCACGCGGTTGTCCCCAAACCATCAGGACACAATTTTTCGTGCTGGCTACTCCAGAGAAGCAAACTGTCACTTCCTCAGAGATCCACCTCTAACCAACTGAATAAAAATTGCTTCCCAGCGGTTCCTCACAGCCTGCAAGTGCACATCCCTGACTCCTGGAGGCTCCCGGGGTGAGGAAAGCGCTTACATCCCAAAATGCTGACGGATCACACCACCGAGTTAGTGCTGGAGCTGCTACTTGAAAGACCCATTTAGCGACGTGGAGAAGGTTCTTCTGTTGCTTATGAGAACTTTCAAACCAGCTTGGCACTGAGATAGGGAGAAATTGCCATACCCGGGCTATTAACTGACTGGGATCGCAGTGCACCCATTTCCGTAAGAGGACACTCACAGGGGGTGTCTTTATGAGGAAATTCAAACTTGAGAGCAGTGTTACAGATCTGGCATTGATTTATTTTTTTTTAAAAAGAAAAGCAGTATCACGGCCAACCTTTTTCTCTTGAAGTGGTAATTCTGGGAAAGGGCTCGTAGCAAGGGGCACTTGTTTTGCTGGGTTAACTCTTAAAACAGAAGAACTAAAGAAGGTCAAAATTTACAGGTATCTCCCAGCCCAAAAAGCTCCAGCTCCCTCTGCGGCAGCATGGTTTGTTCTGGATTTCTCCTGATGAAGGCTATCCTGGCCCTAACGCTGCTGCTCTGCTTTGACACCGTTAACACCACAGCCCGTCCGGGATGCTGAACCTGCTGCGGGCAGGACATGGGGGAAAGAGCCAGGACGTTCACACTGCTTCCAGGCATGTCCTGGTGATTTGAGCAGAGGCACTGAATTTGCATTAAAAAAAAAAAGTCAGAGGTGGAGTAAGTAAATGAGTCTGAGGTCTCAAAGCATCTGAGAAATCTTCCAAAGAAGTCTGAAGAGCTGTGTCAAGGTACAGGAGCCAGATCTGCTGCTGGTATAGCCGGAGGGTGCGGTTTTGAATTTCCAAACCAGTACTGAGCACGTTTTCTCCACCAGCGTGTGACCTGCGGGGCTGCCGATGCAGAGAAACTTGTGCAACGCTGCGGGAGTACGGCTACTTGTAGAATTGCAGGGGCTGAGCGCGCATATTTGGCTAGACACAACTAAAATAACACGAGCAATTTCTGGGTCGTTGGCATGTATTTACATCTGACACTGGTTCATGGAGTTTTCTTGAGGTCTGGATCCACGTGTGCACCCAGCTGTGAAAATAAGCGCCTCGAAACGAAACCTGTCTGGCTGAGCTGGTGCCCGCGAGCCTGTCTGTACAAAACATTAGGACAGGAGCAGTTGTGGTTGCCAAAGATGTCAGCCCTAGCTTCACCTCTGAGCTTCGGTGGGGGACGAATGTAAGCGAGACCAAAATAGCTCCTGTGCGCTGTGTTCATCTCGAAGTATTTGGGACTGAATTACTCAAAGGCACTTGGAACACCAAATACGGATTTTCAGTAAAGTACGTTGTGTTCAAAATGTCCTGCTTTGGTGCAATAAATGTGTGCAATAATTACTACTTTTGCTTGGGCCTTTATTTAAATATTTGAGAGGCTGGGTAGAAGCAATGTCAGTGAAGCTGGCAGGGCACGGGGCTCGGCACCGTGGCTCCTGGAGCGTGGCCTGAGCCAGGCTGTGCCACGTGGGTGCATGCCCGCACCGAAGAGCTGCCGGTGACACAGCCTGCAAACTGCTCTGAAACTGGGAGGATTAAGCTTGTTTTCCTGTGCTGAAACTGATTCATAAAACAGCATTGCCCCTTCCTAATCTGAGGAAGCCAGAATGAAATTCTGGCCGACTTACAATTTTGCGAGGCTATTGCATCCATCACTAACTGTAACAGCACTGCAAAGCTCCTGGGGGCATCCCTGTGCCCGCCGTGCCGGGGCCACGCAGGGTGCCTGCAGGTAAAGCTCCTCCGATCTGCTTCCGCGTGGCGTAGCAGGAGCTACGCTGCAGTGGTGTGATCGAATTAAAACAATCTGCTTAAAAACACGCTGGAGGGAGAGGCTGGCTCTGTAATCTTTATTCGAGCTGAGCTACACCTTCTTTTCAGAAATAAACCCTTTGAGGGTGATGAAGAGGGACAGTGCTGTGGCAGGAGGACATGCAGAGCCCCGCGTGCCAGCGCTGCAGGCAGAGCATTTCAGACGGTGCCCTCGGCTCTGGTTTGTGCGCCCGGAGGTTTCAGCCTGTGCGTTTGCTGTTTAACAAACCCTGCATTTTGGCGTACGAACAGTTACGAAATGGAAGAGGTGTATCGTGGTGCGAAGAGGGATTCTCAGTTCAGAAGAGAAAAAAAGAGGGTGAAAAAGCAAATACCAACGGTGTGGAGCTGCCCACGCGGGCGGCCGGTGAAACGCTGCAGGCGCAGTGCCAAGCACTGCGGGTGACACGTTGAGGCTTTGCCAGCTCCCTGTCTCCAGGACACCTCTGCTCTGCTGCTGACAATATTAATGACTTCCCTTAATTGCAGTCTCGTAGGGTCTTCTTGCAGCCTAATTTTTACCATGTATTACCTGTTTTCTGCATTGTTCAGGTTATCCAGTGCGCTGGCTAAGTAAGAGCTTAACAAACAGCCTTTTAAGTGGCGTTGGTTGGTATTCAAGCTCATTCTTAGTCAAAATCTGCATGAAATAAATCCTACCTGGAGAGGCTGGCAACAGCCAGCCGGGTCTGATGGCCGCGCTCAACAAGCAGCTCCATCTGAGCACTCTCATAAATTGCAGTTGGGCTGTTTCTGGTGGAAACTGTTGTTCAGAGTCTCCAATAGAAATATTCACGTTATACTGTGTTTACAGCATCGTTTTATTAAATTTTGAGGATTGCAATGAGTGTTTTTGGTACATGTTACTGCACAGAAATGACTGCGAAAATTACATAAGTTTTAAAAGTCAAAAAGATAACTTAATATCTTAACCATTTCCTGATTTGGTTTTTGTTAAGCTCTTGGAAGTTACCTACTGGCTTATTTTTTAAAATCACTCTTTGTTTCCTTTCAGGAAACCCCAAAGGTGCTATGCTGACTCACGGGAACGTGGTTGCTGATTTTTCAGGCTTTTTGAAAGTGACGGAGGTGAATACCCTGATTTAGAAAATGTTGCCATGTGCGGAGTGTGTGGGTTAAGCTGTGTCCCTGCACGGGCTGGAAGTGTGCTCCTGCAGATAAGAGGTGAAATTTCTCTTACTGAGAGGGCCAAATCCATGGAAATGGGAGCAGGTCCGAGCTTACAGCACTGGAGGGCATTAAATCCCCTTTCCAGCACCGGCTCCCTGGCTCTGTAAGGCTCAAAGTGCTTCTGAGGGGCAATGTTGGCTCCTGTAAATCAATTAACACCTTTCAAAGAATTAGGAAAGCAAACAAGCCCTGTGCAGTTGCAACTGGTGCTTCAAAAAGATTACAGAGTCCGCTTCTAAGGAGCCCACACAATGTCGTCCTCGCTTATTTGAAAGCTTTCTGCATATAAAGTGTGTATATGTGAGAACATACAGGTTTTTACAAGAATGGTTAATTTAATTGATATTAAAGTACATCTCGGTTTCCGTTACACATATTTTTTAAAAAGCATAGCACTGGCCAAGTACACGTATAGTATGTTTCATGCAATGTATAAACTTGTGTGTAGAAACAATATAGGAAGCAGAATTGCTTTAGCCCAACGTATGAAGGATTATATGCAGCTTGTACCTAACAAATATAAAGAAGCTATTTTTTTTTTGTAGTAAACAAGCAATTCTATAAAGTAGCGACGTACACACGGGATGGACAATTTGTTACCTTATACCCCTTGCTGGTCTTATTGTCGGTGCTGAAAATACCGCAGTCTTTTTATCTTAATCCTTGAACTTTCTGAGATTTCCACTGTTGTAAAGAAACTTGGACACGTGATGTGAGAAATCCCACTGAACGCACGCGTCCAAGTATTTGCAGGGTTGTGACTCCAGTAATTTGCAGTCCGAAGTGTCAGTACAGCAGTTCGCTGCAGTGAGCCCTCGGGCTTCGCAGCGCGGAGACTTCGCTGGGTTCAGAGGCAGCAAGATGCACAAATGAAAGCTGATGTGTAGATCTGTCTGAATTTCAAAGGGCAGGAACGTTTATTTTGGAAGAGAACTAGTTTAGAGGGAGCTGAGGGAACTTGGCGTCTTCCAGGACTGGCCCACAGAAGTGGATTTAGTGTTCGCTGATGGCAATGGGACACTGATTGTTCTCGAAGGTATCCGATTGAGACGTAAGTCTGGTGTAAGTGGTTGTAAATGCAATAGCTGCAGTCACCAGAGATCGTTGGTGAGAGTGTAAATGCCTGTAGCTGATCCACACGTTTAGGGCAATGCCTAACCACAGTAATGAAATCGAGCAAAGTGCAAAATACTTGAAAGTAGTATCAATTAATAAAATAAAAATATCTAAAGCTGAGAAGTATTGTAGGTTTTCTGTTTACGTACTCTTGTGCCAGTTTTGCTTAGTTCAGTGATTTTTATAAATGGAACATTTTTTGAAGTGAACCTAGAGCTTTATTATAAGGTTGTTCTGAAATGCCAAGAAACCGCTGTCATTTTTACGTTTAACTGGACAACTGTGCCAACTGTGAAATACTATTCAAAGTCATCATTTTGGTCCAATTTAAAACCAAATAATTTATTGTCTGGGCACTTAAAGCAGTGTGGGGCAAAAAAAAAAAGGCAGCATAGCCAGTGATGCTAATGGTTTTACATCACTGTGCTTGCAGAGCATGAGGCCAATTTGAAATAATGTATAAATAGATCTGCGGGCCCTAATGGCTTAATTCAGACTGACACATAAAATAACACGAAACGGGATGCTGAAAACGCCCACGTGGTCGATCGTGTTTGACTTCCCTAGGTGATGGCTGGGAGGGTATACCCAAATCTGACTTGCCCAGATTTAACTCCAATAAAATATTCCCCGAGGAAGAAAATCCTGTGCCTCCATCCACCGCTGTGTCCCAGGTCATGGACTATCGATTCTGTCACAGCAGTAGAGATGCAAAGTGGGTATAAACTGCTAATACTGTCAGCTAATAGATTTTATACCCATTTTCCACTAACCACTGGCTTCGGTGCAAGTTATTGGGTAATGAAGCTTTCAGTTTTTCTAATCCATAATATTATGGCAAGCCTTACCCTTGGAAATGCAGGTAGAAAGGCTACTTTTCTTTTGGGGCATGGATCAGGTAAGGCTCTCGGGGCCTTTGCTTATTCCAGCCTGCGAGACAGAGTTAAAACCTTGGCAAACCGAAGACTTTGGTAATTTTTATTTTTCGCATAATTTGTCCAGCCTTCTTTTTCCCCGCTGCACCTGTCTGTGGGGCAGTGATTCAAATCACATTTTAATCACTTAAAATTATGAGAAACAATAACGGAAATCACTAATTTTTGCAGCTGAAAAAAATAATTAATTTTTCCAACATATTCTGATTCAAATCAATGATCAACCTAAGGAAAAGAAAAAATCTATAGCTTTGACTCTAGTAACACTGTGAATCTCTGATGGGCTCTGTGCAACGTGGAAAATTGGTGTGCCTGTAGAGCCCCGCGGATTTCCAGGAGGCTCCTGCAGGTCTGCACCAGGGTCCTGCAGGTCTGCACACAGCTGAGAGTGCAGCTCGTCGTCATAGCATCTCGTGGTAGAAAGCACTGAATAAAAATTGGGTCCTCTGTCAGGGTGAGCCTCCGTTTCCAGCGTGAGCTGCGTGGATACGATACGCCTTCTGCCATGGAGAGGCCTCTCCATTGCCCTCTGTGTACATCTCCATGCTCTTTACTCCTCCTGCTAACTGAGCTTCATTGACGCTGTGGCTTAACGCTTCACTTCGTACGCTGCTCCCTTCTTCTCTCGACAATCTTTACCCTTTTGCTCCTCTGGTGCCGTTTTTCTTTTTATTGTTTTATGACTTTCTTGTTGTCTTCCTGTCAGTGTTTCTTTCCTTTCTGTCTCCCATGCCCTTCACCTGCAGAAAGTGATCTTTCCGAGACAGGACGATGTGCTCATCTCCTTCCTGCCTCTGGCTCACATGTTTGAAAGAGTTATACAGGTAAGAAACCTGCCTGAACTGACGAGGCCTCGTGGGGCTCCTTGTGTTTTCTTCCAGAGTCAGTGGTCTCCTACTTGTGAGGATGTACACATTTCCTATTTGCCTTTAGCACACATGTTTGAGAGAATGGTACAGGTAAGGTCCTAGTGTCAGTGGAAATCATCTTTTTCCACGCCAAAAAAAAATAAAATGAATAAAATACTAAATAACCAGCGATATCTTGTAGCACTAAAAAAGCTTGTACTCCAGAAGTGCCACATGCGTAACACCAGGGCCCCGGCTTCTGGTCTTGGTGACGTGGCCTTGAGTCCAGAGTGATTCCAGGAGAGTTCCCCAAGCTCTCCAGCTTACACCGGTGGCTCTGAGATTGGAAAATGGCCCTTCGTCAACAAGCAGAAACCTGCACAATTTTGGGGGCAGCTTTTCAAAGCACTCTAGGGTCAGGTATCATGGGAGTAAAAATAATTTTGTGCCATTTTCTACATCAGCTAAAATCCTTTTATTGCATAAATAACCAGATCTGCAAAAAACTTGCAGACACTGAAAAAGAGGAAACTAAGATCGTGGTGTGACACGCGTGATCCTCCTGGCAGGGCAGCATACGGTGGGCATTCACTGGAAGCCAGCGGCCCCTGGAAATAATGGCAAATAGAAGTGCTAACTCGTGCCAGCCCGCAGAACTGACTTTTCACATCTCTCTCCTGAAAAGGCAGGTGGTAATTTGTGCTGCAATCGGTGTGTTAGGCAAGTCAGATGAGACGATCACGTCAGTTCTCCTGGCCTGAGAAGCTGCGAACTAAAAACTGATCCAATATGTGAAGATTGGATCTGGATTCAGTTGCAGCTCTGTAGTTTCTCAGGGAGGACTGCTTCGGGCTGAAAGCATAGGTTTTGAGTCAGACAAGCATCTGAATATAAGCCTCCCACTTCTTAGTAACAACTGTGCCAGAAATAATATATTCTGCCCTGTTAAAAAAACTTGCAAATTGGAAGTGAAAGTCCATGAAAGATCCGGAGAATTACAGCCCAGCCTATCTCTACTTGTAAGTCTAATTTGAAAAGGCAAGTTGGTCAGTATGGCACCGCTATTCGGGCAATCTGCTTTGCCAGAAAACAAGAATATAATTATTAAAAAGTCATCTGATGG